ACAGCATTTGCCTATGCTGGTGTCATTAAAACATGTTATCTTATCACCCTTATGCTTATTCTCTTCTACAGTCCTTGTGAATTGGGCACAGGTCCTAGCCACAGCTGCTGCTTGCTGAGTGTACACAGCATTCCCTACCAGTTTAGCTGCTGGTCTCCTGTGGAATGGGTGAGCTATGGACTTAATCTGAGTAGGACTTTGAACCCAGATAGATCCTCAGGCTTGAGGATTATAATGATTTTATTGTTAACTGTATTTCTGCTGTTATTGGATATTTTTAGTTTGGTTACAGTGCTCGAGCTTTCTTGCACAGGGGTGGGTCATGTAGATTGTGAGGTGAGAATTCTGGAGAGGTGGATTGTGGGGTAAATTGCAGAATTTCCATAATCCCCCACCTGGCCTTAGTCCATTTTCATATCAATAGGTGTTACCACTATAGCCTCCCACAGCCTCTGAGGCAAAAAGTGGAGAAAGAGCAGCCATTCTTTCCTCCCCCCTTCTATTCCTGGTACATAATTGGTCAGGCATCAACCAGTCACCAAGGACCTGTCAATGGATTTCCTCCTGGAAGGGGCAGGAGGGAAGTGGAAAGTGCACCAAGGTGAGAAAACGCGAGCAGCGGCTGGAGGAGATGGATGGGGCTGTGCCTTGCTAGCAAATTTGAGCAAGCTGTGAGCAATCTCCCAACCTATCTTTTCCCTTGATTTATTTTGGTTTCACAGGTTTCATGGAGGATCATCCCGCGTCAGGAATATCCTTCCCCCAGAGTAAAAATGGTATAGCACCTTTCAAAGAGGAAGAGAAACGAATTTCATTTCCTTCTTTCTGCCATGTGAGTTCACACTGAGTAGGTGGCAATCTGTAAACCATAAAAAAGGCCCTCACTAAGAACTGATCTTCCACTACCTTGACCTTAGTCTCCCTAGCCTCCAGAAATGTAAATAGTAATTGTTGTATAAGCCACCCAGGATATGGTAGTTTGTCATAGCAGCCAGAGAAGACTAAAATAATAAATCATCATGGTTTGACCAAGTTTTCATTCAAAATTAAAATACCTGAAGAAAAAAGTTTAGACATAACCATTTAAAAAAATTAAAGTTTATTCAACTTATTTTTACTGCAACTACACTTCTGTTCAATTTTCCACATCAGTAGTTGTAACTGCAAGTCTAAATTTTCAGTTTAAAGTTTTCATTGAATTTCAACCCTCCTTCATCTCTGTCTGCTGTACATCCAGTGAATACAATGTCTCTGTCACATTGGTATCTTGAGCTAAAAGGAAAAAAACAAATGCCCTCTCCAACACTTCTCACAGGCATTACTGTCCACCAGGTATTCAGGCTGAGAATATGGGAGCTAACATGAAAACTCTTACTTCCTCAACTTCTTCCCTTAATTACCTACTCCTCTTCTTCTACATCTCAGTTACAGAATTTAATATTTTTTAAAAACAATTCCACTTTTTTATGCATATTTTCCATATATGTCCTATTTGTTTGTATAAGTAGGTTATATAATCTTATGTCATGAAACCCAAATTTATCCTGTGTTTTTCCAAGCATTTAACATAGAACTCAGTAACCTACAGTGCTCAAATAATTCTTTTCGGTGATTAAAATGGCCAACTCCAAATTTTTTCATATGTTGGTTTCTATTCATACAAATAGATTTAAAACAAGTTTTAGGGGTTTTTAACATATTCTTAAATAATTATTAAAATTTATAAATACATCAGTGTATCTCTCCTAAACTCTAAGCAGAGGAATTTTCCTTTTGTGAAATATAAATACTTGCATTATATAGAAAGAGGCTAATGATCATTTGATCATTTTATCTTTCTCAAGTATCTGATTGTTCTAATCAAATTCATTCCTTAAATATTTTACTCTTGGATATAAGATATTGCTTAGTTATTGGGAAGAACAGAAAACAGGAATTATAACAGTAATAAAATCTCCTCTTAAAAATTGAAGAAAATTGCATGTCACAGACACAAAAAACAATATTCAAACATATGTGTATCATCTGACTGTTTTGGCAAGTATATGACTACTATCTTGGTTAGAAATTGGTTTGTCATCCTTCAGTCAGAATAAGTTATCTAATTGAAATTCAAAGAGTCTAATCTCTAAATTAAAAAAATAGAATATGAGACCCAAAAGAGAACTCCATTAATAAAAACACCTATAACTTAAAAATTCTTCTATATTCTAGTTACATGGGCTTTCCTTGATAACCAAATGGTAATTATATTTGAGTGTCTCTTTTTATTTAGGAAAAAGCTGCAAACAGAGTATTTGAAGGGTCCCCACCAGTAAGATGGCAAACTTCCGGCTTCTTTTCGGGGTCCTCGGTTCCCGCCGGCGCCACCTGAAGCCCAATCACCTCTC